TCTCTCTCTCTCTCTCTCTCTCTCCACTGGATGCATGCACAAGTCGAGCTTTGTGTGGCTTTGTTCTCCTGTGTGTCCAGACTGTTCTGTGAGGCAGTGTTTGAACACATCCCTTTGTTAACAGCCACTTCACTTCAAATGACAATGCAACAAGTTGACCTCCCAGTTGCAAAGTTAGAGAATTAGAATTCTCTTCTTTTTTTTTTAAAGTAAAGGTTTTACGGCGCTCGCAACTGCATAAGGTCATATGAGCGGCAATAGAAATCTCTTGAGCTGATGTAATGTAGCCTATGTATTATTTTACATGAAGTATTGTTTTGTTGATTTCTAATTCACGAGGACGTGTGCTTTGTCGAGTTCAGACTTAACCTCCTGTGATTTTCTCTCTCACCTTGATTCAGAGTAACGGTATTAAAAAGAGGACATTCAATAACCTATTTTGTAATTTGACTGAGTTGGCAGGAATGCACATCAGAGTGTGCATAATGTAGAGCTCAGTAGACCTAAATATTCAGTATATGAGAATTGTGGCTGTCAACATGTTTTTTATGATTTATATGTATAATTTATATTGATGATGAAAATGCATGGTGAAAATAGAGTGCATGGTGTGTTGTAGTAAAATTTGAGCTCTCTGTGCAACTTTATATGCATGTTCTTTTGGCGAGTGTTAGTGTTGTATTGCTGATCGTATTAACTAACATGCCGTATAAATAGAATTCTTCTGGCTGGTGATAATTATTATCTTACTGAAGTTCTGAATAGAACAAAATGTATAAAGAAAGGTGGAGATTTTTCTTTTTTCCGTATGACGCAAAGGTTTTTCTGGTTGGTAGTTTGGGAGTAGAATATGTGGTAGGCTGTCCAGAGCTGGTTTACAGAATCTCTTCTTTAATTACCCTTTTACTCTTTCTTGGATTACTTTTTTCTTTTCTTTTTCTTTTTCTTTTTTTTTGGGGGGAGAGGGGGGGGGGGGTGAGAGAACTGAAAAATATTGTTTTCATCACGTTTAACAAAAGTAAATGTGGGAATCTTCAACTGAATCTGTATGTTAGCTACTTCTATCTGTATGTTAGCTACTTCACCACAGAAGAATTCCACCCCGTACCATTGTGTGCTGTTGACTGTACTAATTCATATTCTGTTTCTAGACGTCCTCACAAAACGGTGAAACAGTGACGTCGCACGCATCCATGATGGACCCGTTAAGTTTCCCCACATATATTCCTCAGGTTAGTTTCTCTACATACCCCAAACGCAGTTCTAGTCTCCGCTTGATTTCAACTCTAACCTAACATAGACGGGCGCTTAATTCACCACGCAGTTTGACCCACACTCCCAGACTAGTAGTGTGATAGTGTGACTTAAAGAAATGGCCATGGACGTGTACCTACTACTAGCAATTATTAAAATAAACGGTACAAGCGTGTGATTTTGACAAACCAACCATATCATCATCCCCCGTCCCCATCCTGAGAAGCCCTGTTTCAAGTTTAGGATTAGCCTACTTCCAAATTTTAATAGCAATGGAATTAGACCAACAAGTTGCATTGTGCACATAGCTATGACAACATGTTGTTGCTTTTAGCGACACTTTGGGGACAATACAATTGGGGACAATACAAAATTGGTAATCATTTTAGGTACACTAATTTTCTGTTGCATTATAGTATAGTCCTATATTAAGAAAATTGAGTTATTTTCAACCATGAATGAAAGGCTCATCTTTTTTTCCAATTATCACAAGTAAAATAGTTTTCACACCCAGCTTTGTCAATTCCTTGTGGTTAGGTGAAGAACAACTCCACTTATAGGCCTGTTTATTGTAGAAAACAGACGGCAATTTGATTAGTGAGTTGTCCGAAATGCCAGGAAGAATAAACTCCTTGGCCCTGCTTTTTTTCCCATTGCAGGAATTGTCGTGAATGCAAACAGTTGTGTGGTTAAACTTGCTAAGTCATCCCCCAAAAACAACCCCTCACGCAAAGCTTTTGGTTTTGATTTTCATTAACGTTGAGACAACACAGCCAAACAGGCATGTGCTTATTAGAGCCTTACAGCAAAATTTTAAGTTCTTAGTGCACAAGCTTACAAAACTGCGCTCTCAAACAATTGTGTGGATCACTTGTGAAGTTTCTACATTGCTCAGACTCCTTGCAAACAGCAACTCAAGTTTTGCCTTACCATAGCTGGAGTGGGTCGCGTTGAAAGAAAAGATTTTGCAATGCACAAACCATTTTGTAGTAGAATCTATAAGGAATGGGTCATTTTAGAACAATCTGGCAGCTGGTTGGCTGTTGGTGATTGTGAACTAGACCAGTATGGAGGAGTTCGATGTTTCGCATCAAGCAAACTTCAATTAATGTATTTTGTTCTACCTGAACTATTCCTCCCCTGCTCACCATAAAGTCAATCTACAAATATGAGTTGTTTCTGTAAAATGTTCTGTGTGTGAGCACAAGGTCATATAACTGGGAAAATAACATCAAACAGATGGATGCAGTGGAAGATGGCAGCATTTAAAAGAATCAACCCAGACATAAGAGAAAATTTGTGATATGAATGCCATAAATTCAAACAGTAGGCACATTATCATTATTGTCCTTAAAATTCAAATGAATATATATTAAATATACACTTTTGTAGAGGTATTTGAGTGTTATCCAAGTGACTTAAGATAATATTGCAGTAGGTTATTTCTGAGTATACTCTTACTTCTCATAAGGAGTGCAAAAGTTAGAGCTGTTTGATTCTGTTTTGATTTCTCTGTGCTTGAATTGGCTGACTCTGAGCAAGTAGGCTATTGACTTTTAATGATTGCTGGGCCCTCCTTATATCTTTTAAATGACACACAACTCTGATTATGATAACCGTACACTTCTGGAAATGTCTTTGATCAATGCGTGGATGAGGCCAGTTTGAGGAGCATAGCAGATTTCTTCTTGATTCTTGGCAAAAGCTGTAGCAAGTGCTGTATGTCAATAATTATAATAAATGATAATAATAATAATAATAAAAGTAATAATAATAGGCAACATTTGCAATGTGCAAATTCTTGCTCAACAGCAAGCTCTATGCCCTTTACAATCTATGTTTGAAAAAGGAAATTATTGTTTGAAAATAACGAGTTCTATTTAATCAGGACAAAAGATGGTTAAAAAAAAAAAAAAGACGTCAGATGTAGAACTCTTCCCCATGCATCATTCCCACAGCATGATGTTCTCCCTTGGTGTGATGCCTCGATAGTTGTTCTTTGTCTTTCTTTTTGGTTGTCGCTTTGCTTTTTCTTTTCATGTATGGATTCTTTTCGGAGCACATTTTTCATAAGCTTCTGCTCAAGGACAATTTAATTCGGTTAAATTTTTATTGGTCATATTTTTTGTTTCTTCATTTGTTTGAGCCGTCGTTAACATATGATATCAAAATAAAGGCTGATAGAGTAGAATTTCCATATTTTTTGGACCTATCACAGATTCTTATCTTGTAAATAATGTTGGACGTCCTGCTGTAATAGGCTAACTTCCAACTAAAAGTTATAATGATAAAACTTAAGATAAGATGGTGTTCATACTGTAAATTTTGAATCGTTTCCATGTATGCTTGAAATGTGCATATTACATACTTTCGCAATATAAGTATTTACAGGCTATAATTGAGAGTAAAGCATTGGCTTTTATTCCAAGGATTCACAAGATACGTTCTTATTTATGATTATTATTATAAGATTCTTGCTAGTGTTGTTCTGTGAAGCACATAGCCACAGCAAGGCTTTAGATATTTTATGTGAGGCTTTATTATCAAATCTCTTAGCTAAAATCAGCAACTTCATGATATTAACTGATATGTTGTACCTTGTTTGAGTTTTATGTGTTTCCATTAGAGCACATTTTAAGTATTCAAATAGTTCCTTGTCAATAGTGTTATCGGAAAAGTTGCCATGCCTTTTCGCTTTACTAGCTTTGTGACTTAATGTTCTGGTTATGGGATCTGTTTTCTTAAATCTTACCGACTTTTTCTCCTCCTTCCAGCCTTTGACTTTCTCATTTTCATTTTTGAATTTGTTTTTGTTTGGGTTTTTTTTATGAAGTGTATTATTTTTCGTGCCGTTTTTTTTCTTGGGGGGAGGGGGGGGGGGTTGTTGGTGATGGTTGTGGTGTTGCTGTTGTTGTTGTTGTTGTGTGAACAGAACCAAATTGCCGGGCATGCTGGTTTCGTCAATTTTTCGCTTTTGTCCTCTTCCCTCATCTCCTTGGATGCCTGTCGGTGGCCTAGTGGTTAGGCTCTCAGACTCTGAACTGTAAGGTCGTTGGTTAGAATCCCATCAGGGACCCTAAGTTGTGTCCTTGGGAAAGACACTTTACACAAATTTTCCTCACTTCACCCAGATGAGAATGGGTACTCAGCTATAGACAGTGAAAGATCTTGTCAGTTTGTTAGTGTTCGAGCGCTTAACCAGCTGCTTGCTCTGTATACTTCCTGGGAAGCGGAGAATGTTTTCAGAGTGTTCTGTGGTCTGCTGGGGTAATAATATAGTGCAGATCGCATAAAGCTTGCTGTAGAGCAGAGGTTATGCGCTATACAAATGCTATTTTAAAAAATGTATTATTGATATATTATGCATTAACCAAACTAGTTGCTGTAATTGTATAGTTCTCTCATAATAATATTATAATATTTTTACAACACGTTTTTTTTCTCTCTCTCTCTTCTTCTCCCTCCAGGTATGTCGCGAGTTCCAGCGTGGGACGTGTTCGCGGGCCACCTCCGAGTGCCGCTACGCTCATCCTGCGGAGCACCTTGTGGTGGACGCTGCCGACAATCACGTGACGGTCTGTATGGACTTTATAAAGAGCAAGTGTACTCGGGAACTCTGCAAATACTTCCACCCACCCAGCCACCTGCAGGCCCTGGTGCGTGCCGCCCACGCGCGAAACCAAGCCGCTGCTGCTGCCGTGTCCAGCTCCCCGTCTGCCAACAACTCGGCACTGGTAGGCGGCAGGAGAGAGTGTGCATTCTCGCGGATAGACCTAGACCTAGAAGACTTAGGACTTGTCCGAAAACTTTGTCGTAAAATAATGGAGGAAATGTATAGGCCTAACTATATTTATTATTATTACAAAGATAGAGCCGTGAGATTGATTTTGTTAGACTAGAGCGTAAGATGTGGCCTATTCATGAACCAAAATTTGATATTAAATCTCTTTGAGAGAGAGAGAGAGACAAAGTAGTGAGTTCCTGTTCGAGTATATATGATATCTTGGTTTTTTCATGAACTGAAAGTTTGATATTGAATCTCCTCGAAAGAGAGAGTATAACACTGGCTTTTAGTGATCAAAATAGAGATTGGCATATTTCAGTTTTGTAATGAATAGCCACAAAAAGGGTAACTGAATTGTAGTTAATAAAAGGGGGGGGGGTATTTGTAGTTTGTTAGTAAGCCAATAGTCATGCAAATTTATTAGAAAGAAAATAACTGCACACTGTCTCCTCGATATCTCTGTCTGTCTCAAAAGCGGTGTCAACTGTGAAATATTTCTTCATGCATTCGTCCTGATGAACGTTTGTTCAAACAAATTTTTTGTGAGGGTGAACTTTTATATTTTGAGTACAAAAAGCAAATTTACAGTACCTAAAAATATTTTTGGTTTGTTGTCTGTCTGTTTTAGTCCCGATGGTATCCGTATATATATTATCCTCCTAGCTGGTTCTCTACCTCCAATTCCACTTTTTTATCTTCTTTTTTTTTTTCTTTGTTTAATGGGCTCTGCAAATTTCTTATACCCACTGCAGTCATATATGCAGTGATGCATATTTGCAATTTTTTAAAAATAGGCTCTTTTACTTTTTCCTATCTTCTGTTCATGGACTTTTAGTATTTTTATCTTCTTTTATATATCCTCTTCTATCCATCCCTCCCATCCTTCTTCCTTCATGTTTCAGTTCTTTTCCTTTTCAGTCTGGTTGTCGTCTGTCTCGGTCTCTCCTCTTTGTCCTTCAGTCTATGTTTCTCTCTTTTTCTTCTCACTCTGTCTATTTCTCTTTCTCTTTATCAGTCTATCAATCTGCCTGTCTGTCTGCCGGTCAGTCTGTCCATATGTTTATCTGTTTGTCCATCTGTCTAACTGTCTGTCTGTCTGTCTGTTTGTCTGTGTCTATCAGTATGTCTCTCTGTCTGTCTGTCCCTCTGTCGGTCTGTCTGTCAAGTCAATCATTCTATCTATCTACCCTAACAGTGGCATTGCCTCTGCTCGCAAACCTAGGCCTGCTTCAAGTCCAGGAACTCTCTCTCTCTCTCTCTCTCTCTCTCTCTCTCTCTCTCTCTCTCTCTCTCTCTCTCTCTCTCTGCAGCTTTGTTTTTTGCTCTCCCTGCCCTCTCCCCCTCCATACCCTCGGATCCTGTGTTTCTCCCTAGACTTTTCTAGCGTCCTTTAATAACATCTTTATCATGGTGAGACAACCAATCCCCCACTGAAAGTATGCTATTTTTTTTGTCACGTGGAGTCCTGTGACATACATTTTCCATTTAATGAGGGGTTATTTTGTTTTTTCTTGAACTGGTCTTCAAAAAAAAAAAAAAAAACAATTTTTAAAGTGCAATTTATGAAAAGTCAGGTCTATAGTATATGATGAATAAAAAATGAGATGTGAATAATGTAAAAAGAACAGTTTGGGTCAAATAAGTGATGGGGGTTTTCATTCTTTTAAATGAAATATAAAACAATTCAGATGGGGTTTTTATAAGATAGATCAGCAGAGTATTTATAGAGAGTAATATTTTGGATTGTCATTTCTCCTTTGTGGAGTAAATTTTAAATATTTAAAAAAACCAACGTTTTCTTCTATAAATATTGGAAAGGAACGAAAATATTGCAACGGTTATTTGAATTAAGTTGGGTTTTTTTTTACAAGATCAGGAATTGAAGTAAAGGAAGTAGGCCTACTGGTATTTTTTGCTAATTTTTTTTTTTTTTACTGTGAGTCCAGGTTACTTAAGAGGAATGGGGTAGCCTTGCGGAAGCGACTGAATGAAAATATAATTTCAGTTGTTCTTTTGAAAAAAGAAAATTAAAGTGAAGTGGAGAGAAGCACTTACAAGTGTGTACACAAACTGACCATAAGGTCAAGTTCTTATACTTGTGTTGGGGACTTCTGTCGTACAGATTATAATAGCAATCTAGTTGGGGTTAATATTCTATTCTTTTTATCCATAAAAGATAGTTGTCAACACCTCCAAAGGAGGAAGCCATTTGATATTGGGGTCAAATTCTTTGCTTTAATAATATTCCAACAAGGGAGACAAGTCAGGAATAGTGGGGGGGGGGGGGTTCAAAGAGGCGTAACTCAGTAGTCCGAAAGAAAAGGGGAACAATCCCAGCTCCTGCTTGCCTGCTGCAAGATGTTTCTTTATTATTGAGATTAACTGGACTATTATTGATTTTTATTTTGATTTTCTTCACCATTATTATCATATTTGAAGGCTTTTTTGTGTTATTTTTCTTTGTTGCTTGTTCCAAGCATGGCCATGATGTAGTTGTTTGTGAAGGAGGTCAGTGTTTGGTGTTCTCTTTTTTTTTTTTTTTCATTTCAAAATTATTATTTTTTTCAGTAACCATCAATGCGAATTTTCAGATACAAAGCATATTATTATTTGTCGTAAAAAGAACCACAGTTTTTTCCTCTGAATTGTTCCATGGACAGGGAGGGAAAACTACCTAAAGTCTTTTGATTGTAAATCACAGTTAGAAATGTACCGTAACATTCTGCTTTAAAGATTTGAAATCAGTTTTGTGAGGTAAAAATGTTACTTCTGGTACCAGGGTGTCAGAAAGTGTCCACATTCAGAGTAAAGCTTTTGAAGTCTAGGCTTGTGTCCTGGAAGTATTTTACCTTGATCAGTAGAATCAGAATGGCAAATTCATGGAAATCTTTACTATCAATTAAATGCCACTAAAGTGGATCAGAAGAATGCAAGGTCAGAATAGATTTTATTCATACAAGGATATCTCGTGGTACAGCCATTTGTCAAAATTCACACACATTGCAGAACATGTAACATGGCAGTGGTGATTCAAGAATTGTAGGTTTAAAAAAAACAAAAACAGGGGATGTTTTCTTGCCAATAACTTTTAAAGGAATTGTATAGGCCTAGCTAAGCAAAGTAAATTTCCTTTTGTCTCTAGAAGAAAGTGAGCAGCAAACACTGAGTTCTACACAAATATTTTAACACCTGAACCTTTCCGTCGTCACATATTAGGACATCTTTAACGATTTCAAAAAAAAGAGTTCTTCTCTTCTGAATTCCTAAAACAAATAATATTTGTTCAAAGTTTTCAATTTTTAAAAAAAGTATAATAATTTTTTTTCGGGAACATTATCTCCCCTCTACCCCCCCCCCTTGGCTGCACTGCAGAATGTTTTATCTCCTTTGTCTGGACAAGAAGTGCTTATTCCTGGCAAGAATGTTAGCTGTAGACCTGCTTTGTGGAAGCCTTCTCCTCAGGCTGGCCTTGAATGTGGGCTGCACTTAGAGCTGACTCTATGGATGAATGTTTTTACTTTTGGTTTTCATTTCTGGATATCTACTTGCTTGCCGCTTTGTGTGTCCGTCCATCCGGTCTTTTCATTCAGTGTCCCACAATGTGACTAACGTTGGCTGCTGACTTCTGTTAGTTTTGGTTTCCATATGTTTATTAACTGGAAATGGTCAATTTGGACATCTCATCATAATGATTATTATCACCTACCTCCGCCCACTTCTATCAATGTCCCTGGACATCCTTATTCCTTACATCTTCTTGTACTTTATGAACACTCTGCCATTCCTGTCTGTCCTTTTAGCTTCTTCCCCTTTACTCTCCACATTACTCCGCTTTAAATTCTTTTACTCTTACATCTGTACAATATTTAAGTGATCTGATTTACACCAAAAAAAATAAAAAAATTCAATAAGATTTAAAGAGGTCACACTACAGTGCCTACAAAATCCACACAAAAATTGTATTATATTCTAAGCTTTCACCTTCTTTTGTGTGTTTTTGTTTGTTCAGTTTTTTGTTGTTGTTTTTTTCTCTTTGTTTCTCTCACTCTGTGTTGTCATGCTTTTGCCTTCTATTTTTTCATCCCTCATAGATTCATTCTGGATTTACTGTTCCGAGCTCTCATTCTGTCTGTCAAACTTGATGTCAAAATCAAACAATTAAAATGAATAGGTTTCTATACCCTTACCCTCTTTCCTCCCCTTTCTAAAAAAAAAAAAAAGCCCTATGAATAATATAATTGTTTCATCTTTTTTCTATCGAGTGATATTTTGACTTTTATCTGTATCCCATCACTCTCATCTCTGCTTCTCCGCACTAAATCAGACAGATAAACTTAAGAGCCAAAAATGAAACTTGAAAAATTTAAAGATTTTACGATGAGGCAAATTTAGAATTGGTTGATAATTCTGAGTACGTGAAGAAATACGGAGACAGACAGAGGTCCGATGATGTCTACAACAATAGCTGACACATTGCAGCAGCATGCGGACTGGCACAGGAGAATATATGCCACAGTTGGTTCCCCAACCCCCCTCAGTTTCAGGGGGCGGGGGTTGTGTTAGATATGAATATATGCCAAAATATTCTCATTGGTACATAATAATTAAATGTCTTCCTACTTTCTTGTTCTGCCCGTGTCAAAACAAGCATCTGGCATGAGAAAACGTTTTAACAAAATTTCTAACTGTGCACTTGAAAAAGGAACCCCCCACCCCGCCAATTCCATGCAATACCGCGGCCTAGATGATTTGCTCCAATGATACCAGGCTAAACGTCAGTGGCATTCTGCTCTCATCAGAAGGTTGGTAAACTCTCGTTCATATTGACCCCGATCTCTGCCTGCCTGCTCCCATTTGCTGTTCCCGAGAGTCTGTTATTACTCAGACTCGCACTTGACTCGAGTCCATACAGGTTGAACCGTACGTGCTTGTCTATGGCAAAGCCACAAG